ACAGGTCGCACGAGCGGCCCTCAGGACACGCATCCACCCCCTGCGGCGGACGCCAGATCCGCGGCGCAGGACGATGCCCGCCATGTCCACCAGGGGCAAAGGCTCGCCGGCGACCGGCCATGAAGGAGCCCCCAAGCTCCTCCGCACGGGCGATAAAGTCACCCACCGAGCACCCCGCACGGGGCCTCGGCGAACCACCACCACCATCGCTTACCTCGCTACTTACCTCATCATCGTCGCCGTCGGAGTTGGCCCTCTAGAGCCCAGAACCTGCTGCCGGAGAAGGGCGGGGCGAGAGACCGCCCCCCAGACGGCGCGCTCCACCGCGCGCACCCCTCAGCAGGCCGCACCTCCGTCCAGCCTTCCGCCTCCGCCACAAGGCAGCGAGCAGCGTCGCCCGCGGAATCGCCCCCCGAGTCGCCAGACCGAAACGCCATCTCGTGTCGACCACGCTCTTCCTCCGTATAGATGGCGAATTTTGGCTCCTCATGTTCGGTTCCTTTGCTTCGCTTTTTGTTTCTGGTTGTCGTGGGTTTCATCGCTAGAGACGAATGAGTTCCTGGGTGGATGCTAAGGAAGTATAGACGTGGGCTTGGGTATAATTCGAGACGACTTGACATTGTTTCAATATTGTTGTGTAGGTTGATGGTTTGGCGCTTTTGTGCTGCCTTGATGTAAAAACAGAGAAATTCTAATTTTGATAGTTTGGCTAATACATCATCATTTTCTTTCCTTTTGGATGTCCGTGAATTCCGACCTGCCAAATGAGGAAATAAATGCTCAATTTAGTGACCTCACCTCAAAATCTCAAATTCGGTGTTAAACTAACACGATGTATTTTTATCTTCAACCTCTCATAGTTATGTACACCCTGACATCTTACATGTTGTAAAAGTCTTGTTTCATCGATGAAATAAAACAGGGTGGCGAGGTTTCTATATTTCAAGAAATAAAATCTTATGGTTATATTATAAATTGGTGCTACCACGCAAGTGGTGATCCCTGTATGTATTACCCGTCTCTATATAGTGATACTGGTTAAATTAACTCATAATCAACTCATAGAATTTGTTGCTATAACGAAAAAGATAACGCCCGAATGTCTGGTACCTGGCTCCTCCTCCCAAACGCTTTACCTACCACTGGTGGTGTAGCATGTACTCCTGCCACGTCACGGAGTACCTTGGCGCACTGTCCCCTGCCACGCCACGTTTCTCGTACGTTCGGTACGTGTCGCCCCGAACGAGTGGAGACTGCATCGGCACCTTATCCTTTCCATGCAGGCTCGTTTGCTTCTTTCCAATCCTTCATTTTTAATCAGAGGAGAGTGAGGCGAGCTGGCCGGGCTGCTCTTCGTCGGGGACGTTACCGTTTACTTGCCCGCGCCAACGGCCAGCTACTCGCCGGGATTCGCCGGGGTCGCCGTCTTCTCCGTGCGCCACGCTGACAGGAAGCTGGTCGCCGAGTTCCCGGGGATTCGCCGCGCACCCAGGTACTCCGCCGCCTCCCCAGTAGCTGTCCGAGCGGCGGACCGCGACGCGCGCGCGAGTGTCCAATGGCTCCGGTGGTCCGATGAGCGTGGCTGCCGGCCATGGCCGTGGTCGTGTGCCACTGCCTCTCCCGCTGGAAGCACGGAGGCTCGCGACCAAGATCCGGGGAGAAGGAGCTCCGTGACGGCGAGCTCCTCTAGGAGCAAGGCGACCACATACTCCAAGAGCACGACGACGACAAGCTTTGAGGCTCCTTCTGGCAACCTTAACGAGGAGGAGGGTGGCAGCTGGATGAGGATTAAAATCACGCTGGAGTCACCGTGCTGTCCTCTGACTACACAGCCGGCGCCCCATGATCTTCAGGACGGCGGCGGCGCGGCGGCTGGACCTCCCTACCAGCCTGCCCGGCCAAACTCCACAAGCTACAGCTCACGGTCACGGATCCAATCCAGGAAACGTCCTGCCAGCTAGTGCCATGGTTCCCCCACGGAATGAGCAGGTGAATTACTTGCTATTACTTAGAACTGCTTTCTTCTTTCTTCATTCTCCTATTACAGAAGCTACACCATATGGTTGTTTGATGATCTGCTAATTCTTCATGGCAATGTGGTTCGTCAATAGCCATTAGCGGTACATGCACGTGTGTTGAGTTTAATTTCAGTTATAGTTTTGACTTAGTCACTTAGTGGTCACTTGCTTTGTCGATCTTTGCCAATGGAGTTTGGAATGCTCATATGATTTCCATTCGAAAAGTTTCCGAAATAGGAGGAACTTGGCAGCCATGCCATTGGTGACCTTCAGATAAGGTGTTGTTCCATGCATTGTGCTTATCTTGCCAAGAACAAAAGAAGTGCTTACTCTGCGTCATGTTATAATTTCTGATTCAGTAAACAAGTGGTCATGTATCTGGAGGAACGAGGAAGATGGACAGGAGGAGTTTGGTGCCGATTCTACAGGCGTAGAGGATTTTCCTTTGGACTATTATCAGGGCTGTTTGTAGTATTAATAGAATTATTAAGGGAGAGAAAGGACGACCATTGGATTATAACGGACGACAGATTCTGCCTGCTACAGCATCTGTACAGTAACAAATGTACAACAGAGGAGCCCAACCCATTGTGTCATGTGTATAGCACTGCTGTTTTTAGACCCTCCCAGCCCTGACGTGGTCTCTCCCTTACCCATGTTGCAGCGACTGTGCTGTAGGCTATAGCATTGCCGCCGGTGTTGAACTTGACGGGTATGTGCTGCTCACTGGCAAGTTGAGCGCACGGGGCAGGTTCGTGGTGTCCGGGGACCTCCTCGTCGACAGCACAGGAGGGTGGTGCTCGAGGAATCGCGCAAGTTTCTTTTCACAAACCATGTGCTCAAGATGGAGGACGGCATTGTTTCATACCTCATCGTTTTATGCGAGCATTGGATTGAACTTTCAGGGCATGAACTCTGAAGCTGTTCATGAGCTTCCTCCACCAATTAGACCGATGCTATGTAATTACTGGAGCTCTGAAGCTACAATTACGGGATCCAATCTTTTTAGACCCTTGACATCACATACCTCACTCGATGTGTTAATGTTGTTCTATATATACCTGACATAGCATTTTAACCATGCTATAAAACTAAATTTACCATGCTACAAAGTAAACTTGCCATGTTAGTTCACATAATGAATCCTTTGTGCAGGGAGTTCTAGCGACGCATTATACAAGGAGCTATGGCATGCTTGGGCTAGGCCGTTGATCACAGTGCCTCGCCAAGGTGAAAGGATTTACTACTTTCCGCATGTTTATATTGGAACAGGTATGTCTCACCGCATTGGTGTTTGCTCTTCTTGATGCCCTATAACCAATGAATGAATTTGCTACTCAACACAAACAGTAGCTATTTGTGTTATGGGACATTGCTTTGTTCTTGTGTTATAAATGACAATATGACTTTGTTTATGCGGAATAATCATCCAGGTATTTAAAGTTCATCCACGTACATATTTAGAACCTGATATTCTCTAGTGTGGTCATGTATTAGTTGAAAAATGAATATCCATCATAGGGTACCACCTTACATACAGTGCTTCCAGCCTTACAGGCCTCACCAGAAGGCCCTTTGCCAAGCTTCACTGTGACGACTAACTTACTACTTGACAAACATCTTTGCTAACTGATAAAAGCAACAACATAGGTAAATAAACTCATTTTCACATGTTATGACAAAATGGTTTCTTCCAGCTCACAAAAAAACAAAGAAAACATAGTATTAATACATAGAGAGACTGTATAATTGTTAAGGCTACTTTAGGAATTAATTTGGGAATAGACTGAACATATCAGGATATACACGAGTTGACTGCAAAGAAAAGAAATCATCATCTACTAATACTGTACTAAATGAACATTATCCATTCACATCTCCAGTATTGTACTATTATACATGACAGAGAATGACTAACATTACTCATTCTTCTCTTAAAGCTGTCAAGAAAATACAGTCAGTAGAAAAGTTAGAAGGATATTGAGCACTAAACTCCAGTTATCAATACACCGGACTGTCTACTGGTCTCCAACCGGTTAATTTAAGAATCATCACATTTACCAATAAGGGGGCAATTGTCTGTAAGATGTGATTTGCTTGCATGCATTTCATAGATAAATATGTGCATAAAAGTTAGGACTTGCCTACATACCTGGATATTTACATTCACATAGAGAAAATATATCTTCAATTCACATGTAGGACACAAGAATGTATAGTCACAAACTCACAATTCCATGGCAGCAAAAATCTTCAATAATCTGTGAACTCCATAAACAACGATATTATAGATCTCTTGTTTTGTTGATATATTGACATATAGAAGAAGGAGATGTAGTCTACAGGAGAGAAGCAACCATCAATGGTGTTAATGTCACCTCTCCATAGTACCATCGGTCCAAAGGCACTCAAGTAAAAATCAAAACACAAAAACGACAAATGGCACTGGGAGTTTGGAGCCCGCCCATCTGATTTAGATGATCTGGGAAAGAGCAATGATTTTGCCCTCTTGTGGATTTAAAATACAATTAGAAAAGTTCACTGAACTGATGAATGGGTGTTTTAAGCTCACCCAACTTCCTTAGTTTTGAAAATGAACAAATCCATCTCAAAACATGATTTAATACATCATATTTATGCAGGCATTGCCAATTCAATTTTCTGGTACGCATTTGTTTAAAAATAGGAATATATATATATATATATATAGGAAAATGGGTTAGTACTCTCAGGAGTATGTACTCCCATGCCACATGTCGCTCATTGCTTCAATGCCGATTTTTAAATTGCTTTATCATTTAATTAAAGAGATAACAACCAGATAATATCCACACACACGCACTGTTTTAAAATTTGTTAGCCCGTCCAGGTTAATAGGGACTCTGGTAGCTCACAGATCGCGTGCATAGTAGATGCCCTCAACGACAACTCTGTTTGACATCACATCCTCGTGTAACAAACAAACGGAGACGGCACCCGGCCATGGCCATGGCGACGGCGACGGGAACGGCGGCGATCACGGTTGGGGAGAGCACCGGCGACGACGCAGCAACACAGCAAACGACGTCGGCGAAGCCACCGATGCCGGAGACGGAGACGACACCGGTGATGGAAGCAGCCACGGCAAGGGCAACCGCCACGAGATGCGGCTATGTAACGTCCCTTGGCCTGACCAGCGACGGCGACGGCAGCGACATCGTCGACGAGGACATCACCAACAACGACAAACATATGCAGCTATCTTCCCTTGGCCTGGCCAGCTACTGCGACGGGGATCGTGACGGCATCGCCGATGGGCGACATCACCGGCGATGACAACAGATGCGGCTTCTTCATCTCATCATCGACGCATGGATATTCTTGTATTGATTTCCATGCATTCATTGTAATTGATATCTCACGAGCTAGTTCAATGAAACAGTATAATCCATCCATGCATGCCATGGCGACCAAGATGGAGGCATGCGCATTGCTAGCGTTTCCATCATCAACACACATCGGCGCTCACACGCGTGGCAATACACAGCCGCGGTTCTTGCTGATGTGCAGAATACACATGCATGCGTGCGTACCTGACATGCATGCCTAACATATTGTTTTATTTTACATGATACCTAACATGTTGTTGGTTGTGACTTGTAAAGCTCGGAGAAGCCAAATCATATTGCTTTTGATCAGTGGCAAAGTTATATGTAATGGAAGTATATATCCTCTGATGATGGGTAGTAGTTATACGAAACGTAAGTAAAGCTCCTCAGAGTATATAACCACATTGTCATTGAGATGAATATAATCGTACATGCACAGAATGCATGCATATACTCATATTTGGTGAATAATACACCGCTGTATTTCGCAAGTGTAAACTCCTTTTGAATTTACGAGTATGACATACTTGTTTTGGTAATTACCGGAAGTTCATACTTCCTCGTGAAATATTAGTATATACGACTTCCTTGCATGATGATCATAATATATACTTGAAAAGGTAGTATATTTATTCACACATGATTTTATGTTTAGAAAATCTAGTAGATACTTAGTGTAAAAGATGAAGTATAAACTTCCTCATGAAAGATGTCACGTATACTCTCCCATAAAATATGTAGTATATACTTCCTAAAAAAATGTTGTTGTACATATCTCGCGCAAAATGAAGTATATACTTCCAAAAAACATGTCGTGTATACACTCTCATAAAGGGTGAATATAGTTCCTAAAAAATGTTGTTGTATATACCCTCTCTCTCAAAGAAAAGAAGTATATACTTAAAAAAAAGTTGTACACACACTCTCATAAAAGATGAAGTATATACTTCCTAAAAAATGTTGTATATGTACTCACACAAATATAAAGTATATACTTCCTAAAAAATATTGTATATGTACTCACACAAAATATAAAGTATATACTTCCTCATAAAATATGTAGTAGATACACGCAAAAAATAAAAATAAAAAAGTATCATACACCTGCTGTTAAGGAGAGAATATAATCCGGCCGGACGTCAACAACCTTATCCCCTAAAGCAATCTATGAGCACCCACACGCTCCTTTATTTTAGGGATTAGCTACACATGCAAACAAACTAGCTACGGAGTATTTTGTTTTGCTAATTAGCACGGTTGTTACTTGCTGCTATCGGGTATATACCTGCCTTACTCGCTAAACCTCATTATATATATGCAGGAGTATATATCAGAAAGCATGGTAGAGTTCTTTTGTTATTAAAATGCTCTCTCTTGTGAGTTTAATAGCAGTTTAGGATAAAATCCTGGATCGCTACACCAGTCAAGTTGAGCGTTAGATGGCTTCAAAGATCCAGCTGATGGTGATAAACTAATGATGCACAGTCAGTTTCCTCATCAGGACAAAGCTTACACGCAGCCCGGGCCAATTGGGCTGATCAGAAAGGCAAAAGAAATCGAAACCCACCCTATTAGACTTCCTACACACAAGCACTGACACTTCAACACTAGTAGAAAAAGGGTCAAACGTGAAACACATTAGTGCCGGTTTGAATTTGAGCCGGCACTAATGTGTTCATTAGTGCCGGTTCCAACGGCTAGCCGGGCCGCTCTCATTAGTACCGGTTCGTGGCGAACCTTTAGCACTGATTCGTGCCACGAACCGGTACTAATGAGAGTGGTGGCAGGATCTTGTCAGTCTGGGGCCCCTCCAGCACCTTTAGTACCGGGTCGTATCACGAACCGGTACTAAAGGTCGTCCTACATAGACCATTCGTCCACCCGAGCTCGCTCTGTTCTTCCCCTTTCCCCTCTCCTCTCTGTTCTTTTCCCTCTTCCTCTCAAGCTCATCACACATTTTGCCCAAATTTGTCAAGATTTGAAGGCCCCCATCCATTCAAATGATCACAAAGGTTAGCAACTTTTTCCTTTCATCTCTCATTGCTAGATTAGCTCGTGCAATGCTTTATATAGTGATTGATTTTTGAGTTTAGTAATTTGGGAGGAATTATATATATGTGCTAGTATTTGATTTATATGCAATTTGAGGTCAAAAATAACACTTAGTTTGCATATGTAGGTGTGGTTTACTTAGTACCTTCTAAATCTCCGTCGTAACCACCGTCGATCGCTCGCAACGTCCCGTCGCCGGCACCACCTTGTGGTGAGCCTCTTGTTCATGAAGTTTTATATAAAAAATTGATGTTTGTGTGATTTGGATATATAGTTACTCGTATAATTATCTTACCCATACGTTGTTTGTTATACATAGTGCCATGGTTTTGATATCCGTCCCCGTCGGCCCTCGTCCGGGTTATGATTCGGATGTGGTATATTCTCTTTTAAAACTATTCATTGCATTTCGTGTTTATGACAAATTATGCCCATCAAGTTGACATAGATATTTGTATGTAGGAGGTAGTTGAACCGGAAATTCCAACCGACCCTATTGTCGAGAGGTTAAATTTAGTTGAAAAAGAAAACGAGGATTTGAAGGAAAAATTGAAAAGAATTGATGGGGAGAAGATGGAATTGGAGTTGCATGTTGCCGATGTCGTCGATGATCACACGATTAAGATGGAGAAAATGCGCTTGAAGCTTAATAAGATTAGAAAATATGCCATTCATAGTGAGGCTTGGTATCATTATGCTGTTGGATCAATTGTTACCTTAGTTGCGATCTTGATCGCATTTGTTGTTGCATTTAAATTCTTTAGCTAGAGAGTTATTTGTTTGTTGCATTTAAGTGTTGTATGAACTTTATGTATTGTATTAATTTGATGTTTTCGGTGCTGTGTATTGAAGATGAGCCGGCAATGGATGTACGATGACCAATGCTCTCTCGAGTTCATTAATGGCGTGCGTACTTTTCTGCTTGCGGCTGAGGCAAACAAGCGAGCGGATGGTTTTATGCCTTGTCCATGTGCTGGCTATAAGAATGATCACAATTACTCTACGTCAAGAACCATTTACGTCCACCTGTTTGAGTCCGGTTTCATGCCCCACTATAATGTTTGGACCAAGCATGGAGAAAGAGGGGTTATGATGGAAGACAATGAAGAAGAAGAGGACGACGACAGCTATCCTGGCCATGGGTTCCCTGAATACGATGATACAACAATGAGGGAAAAAACTGAGCCGGTAATGCGGGAAGAAGCTGAGCCGGCAATGCGGGAAGAAGCTGAAGAAGAGGCATCGAATGAGCCCGTTGATGATGTAGGTCGGGCCATTGCCAATGCAAAAAGAAACTGCGCAAGTGATTTGGAGAAGAAAAAGTTGCAGCGCATGTTAGAGGATCACAAAAAATTGTTGTACCTGAATTGTGTAGGTGACAAGAAAAAGCTGGGCACCACACTGGAATTGCTGCAATGGAAGGCAGAGAATGGTGTATCTGACAAGGGATTTGGAAAGTTGCTGGTAATGATAAAGGATATGCTTCCAAAGGACAACGAATTGCCTAAGAGTACGTACGAAGCAAAGAAGGCTGTCTGCCCTCTAGGGTTAGAGGTGCAAAAGATACATGCATGCCCTAATGATTGCATCCTCTACCGCGGTGAGTACGAGGATTTGAACGCTTGCCCGGTATGCGGTGCATTGCGCTATAAGATCAGCCGCGATGACCCTGATGATGTCGAGGGCGAGCGCCCCAGGAAGAAGATTCCTGCCAAGGTGATGTGGTATGCTCCTATAATACCACGGTTAAAACGTTTGTTTCAAAACAAAGAGCATGCCAAGGCGATGCGATGGCACAGAGAAGACCGTAAGAAAGACGGAAAGTTGAGAGTACCCGCTGACGGGTCGCAGTGGAGAAAAATTGAAAGAAAGTACGAGAAGGAGTTTGCAAATGACGCAAGGAACATATGGTTTGGTCGAAGCGCAGATGACATTAATCCTTTTGGGGAGCAGAGCAGCAACCATAGCACCTGGCCTATGACTGTATGTTTGTATAACCTTCCTCCTTGGTTGTGCATGAAGCGGATGTTCATTATGATGACAGTGCTCATCCAAGGCCCTAAGCAACCCGGCAACGACATTGATGTGTACCTAAGGCCATTAGTTGAAGAACTCTTACAACTGTGGAATGGAACAGGTGTACGTGCGTGGGATGAGCACATGGGGGAAGAATTTGACCTAAAGGCGTTGATGTTCGTGACTATCAATGATTGGCCTGCTCTCAGTAACCTTTCAGGACAGACAAACAAGGGATACCGCGCATGCATGCACTGTTTGGATGATACCGACAGTATATATTTGGCTAATTGTAAGAAGAATGTGTACCTGGGACATCGTCGATTTCTTCCGAGCAGGCATCTTGTAAGAAAGAAAGGCAAGCATTTCAAAGGTGAGGCGGATCACCAGACGAAGTCTCGCCACCGTACTGGTGCTGATATACATGATATGGTCAAGGATTTGAAGGTGGTCTTTGGAAAGGGTTCTGGTGGACAACCTGTTCCGAATGACGCTGATGGACGCGCACCCATGTGGAAGAAGAAATCTATATTTTGGGACCTGCCCTATTGGAAAGACCTAGAGGTCCGCTCCGCAATCGACGTGATGCATGTGACAAAGAATCTTTGTGTGACCCTGCTTGGCTTCTTGGGCGTGTATGGGAAGACAAAAGATACACCTGAGGCACGGGAGGACCAGCAACATATGGACGGAAAAGACGGCATACATCAGGGTCATGCAAGCTACGCTCTTACCAAAGAAGAGAAGGAAATCTTTTTTGAATGTCTGCTCAGTATTAAGGTACCGTCTGGCTTCTCGTCGAATATAAAGGGAATAATAAATATGGCAGAAAAAAAGTTTCAGAACCTAAAGTCTCATGACTGCCACGTGATTATGACG